TAGAATACTATTTTATTACACTAACTCGATCCCTATCTCGATCGGGCACATGTAGAGGTAGGCGGGCACATCTACAGGGAGGTGGTTTAGCCGACGACCGAGTTGGTCACGTGTTTTTTGGAGTTAAAAAACGATCAAAAGAATCGCCAATTTTGTATAAACTGTATCAAAAATGTATCAAAATCCACACTAAATAAACTTACTTAACACTCAAACACTTCTACCTCATAATCACGGACAATACAACTGTATAATGGTAAGATTTTGCCCTGATCTGGCTGAACCACTGTGTTGCACGTATTACCTTCATTGTACATGACCCCAATTCTGTACGTACGTACGTACGATCCTACGCGCGCAGTCAAGAACATCAATATTCATGAATTGACACGACGTCACTGATATGCATATTCATTGACCTCCTTGTAGATGTGCCCGATTAAAGGCTACCTAATCATTCACTACTTCTATTTAAGATTAATCACTAAATTAAACACTACTTCTATTTAAGATTTAACCGTATATATATATATATATATCTACCACCATCACAAACTATTACATACGCTTCAACTCGACACATATTGAAAGGCTCCAAATTTTATATAAACTTGATCGTAGCATCTTAAAAGGAAAATTGGTTGACAATTTCCTGAAATATCAAGTTTTGATTTGTTTTGAACTGGGTAACAATTAAAAATTGTCTTTTCTTTGCTTAGCCATGTTAAATGAATTAGTAAATGTTTTAAAGTCCTTAAATTTTCATTTAATCACAAAAAAGAATTGTTTTATTTAAAAAAGAGTTTAATTTGGTCTTAATGAATATTCATAAATTATGTAAATATTTCTATTACGCACTGCATCGGTCCGTACTTTAAAAAGATAAGAATAATCAACATAAATTGTTTGAGTAATACGTATAATTTCTGATTTTGAGTTAAAATTACTAAATTAATACAAGCTGAAATTACTTAAAGTTCTTATGTATTTGATTTTACTTAAATATTCCACGTACGTTCTACTAAATTGAAAGTTTGAGTTAGCAAGACTTAAATTTAGTGCGTAAGTGGCAAAACTAATGTTTTCAAGTAAATTCTACATGGAAAAAATACGTAAAAATTACCAATGAACAAATTCTTTTTTACAGTGCAGGCAGATTATTATACCCGATGGTCCTAGCATACAGTGAGCATTCATTTGACATTAAGCAAACTACTATTAGGAAGAAGAGGATGAAGAACAAGGGGGAAGGAGAAGAATCATTTCAGCGATATCAGTAATTATTTTCTCTTCGATCGAGGCATACACATGAACATTACAGGTACACACACATGTACATACTCCGTGGCAAGAAGGAAAAAGGCGAGGGAAAAGAAGGGCAAGGACAATAGAGAGAGAGAGAGAGAGAGTAGCCTATGGCCCGGGTTCAAATTCAGTTTTCTTTACTTTATTAGACCCGATACTGAATCATTAATTTACCATGAGATTAAAATTTAAAAATCATCTATGAACAGTAAATTATTATACATCTTATGAAAGAACGTTTTGTCCTAAATCATTTGGTATCATTTTTATGTGGTATGTGTTTACGCTTGGATGAACAGGTGGCATTTTTTGCGAGAGTGCAAGAATGGGCTTGCGCCAAAATGATACCTACAGTATGTGATATGTTTTGGATTAAAGTGAGAGAATGAATTGAATGTATCAAATGAGATGCATTGCATATGCTTTTGGCAGAAGCAAAGTCACACACAAAAAATGTTCGTTGATATTTGATATAATTTTGTGGCATGATTAATTTTGTTAGGGATATTATTTGGATCAGCAATGACCGAATTAGTACCCAAATCCCATTTTTTTTATTCCAACATCACATAAGCAAATTTGGCGCAAGTCGACACCCCCATAATTTTATCAAACGAATACGTTTTCACTGGCTGCCTGCCGTAGAAACTAACAACAAACTCCGTTTCGTTGACGATTAGATCAGTCTTCCTTTTTCTTTGTTTCGGTAGAGAGCCAGTGAAAATGATTGTTTAATAAAATTATGGAAATGCAAGCATTACTTTAAACAAACAGAACTTTGTTATTCCTGGCTTATTTTTCCTGATTGAGGTGTCATATGAAAGGGCAAAAAATGAACCTTTTGGAAAATGATTTTCTCTTTGAAATTCAGACACCGTCCGCCAAATGACTTTTTGGTATCCTTTCTTCAAATTATTTTGAATCACTCATGCGTGAATTAATTGCATCAAATGAAAGAGGAGGATCTAAGCTTTACAAATATGTGTCATTTATTAATTATAATTGTAATTAAGTTATGACAAATCATCGATTAATTATACTTGTGATGTTATGATAAAAGTACATCGATTATTCTCGGTTTCGTTTTTGCTGGGACGCACTGTAACTATATTGAGAAATAAGTGACGGTAGTGAAAAAAAAATTGCATTCACTTTGCGTTACGATTTTCCTCACTACCGTCGCTTCGTGAAAACAAGGACGAAACGAAGGAAAAATATAGTTCTTCCTGCCCTTTTACGCTTGAAAAGACGCATTCATGCAACTTCTTTGACAAATTGTCGGTCGTTATTGATCTATACAGTTCCCAAAGTGGTACTATAAAAGAATTAATACATATCCTACCGAAGTCATGTAGACCGTGGGCCTAAAACAGGCTAGAATACTATGGTAGATGATCAACCTTTTCTGGTCGGTTCCACACCGTTTCTTTCACAATGCAATCGCATGACCAGAACTCAACTTCATCTTTAAAACACGTGGACCTAAAACAGGCTAGAATACTATGGTTTAAAAGCTGCTGAGCACCATAGCAAGCTCAAAAAACATTTGATCAGTAATAACCCGGAAGTTGCGGGCTATATACCATTCGAGTTCAAGAATATAGTTTGTCATGCTAGTTTACCATAACACCTGATTATTTTGATTGTTTTGAACGAACTGAATTCAAACTGAAAGTATATGTAAATAGAACATATTTAACTATAGATACTGATCATCATGTAATACTAGTAATAATTGATTTATTCATAATATTTGAGATTTCTTCTAATCAGTATATTTACCGAACATGTTTGTTTAAATAATAATAATAATAATATTTAATGTTTATACAGCGCTTAATACAAATGTCTCTAAGCGCTTTACAAATATACTATTACCCCGGTCATTGGATTCAGTGCTTGCCCGCACACACTGTGTGCACAATCTCCACTCCCTGGGGAGCATTCCAGCCGGGCAAAAAAGAAGACACATACAGATAATACATCAAATAAGGCAAGGCTTCTTTTAAAGTGCAACGGCTTTGACCTATGGCGGTGATAACTCGAGATATTAACGCTAAGTTGTAATTCAGATCATGTCTATTTTAATCTACAAAATGAAATCTAATTTCAAATAAGCATTTTAAAATCTTTTCTGTGTTACCGTTCTAATTTTTCAGTTAAAATGTGCGCTTAAAATGTCAGTGCATTGCTGTATTGTTGACAGCCCAGGGTAGAAAAAGGTCCATGACAAAATGAACGCACAAACAATTCGCCGTCTTCATAAAAATAAGTAATTATCAACTAGTACATCTTTTAAGTGAAAGTATAAGCTAGCTCAGTACCGCATTCATTACCTTTCACTTTGAATTTGATAACACATGTTACTTGCCGCGGCTAGCAAGTTCTCAAGTACTTACTTATAGCAGCAGCTCCAAAAGTAGCGTTTTGGGGGGATGAAAATCTCAGAAACACAAAATATATTTCATAAATATTCATAAATGTCACATTCAGTTACTATTGTTACTCATATAAATTGTAGGCTAAATGGGAATGTAAGATTTAAAAGTATCGACTTTAAAGATTTGTTAACCTTATTAATCCCATTATTGAATTAACAAAATGTTGGATATAAATATGGTGGTTGTTGTTCTAAACAGATGCAAACTAAAATGGAAATGCCATAAATTGAGTAAAAAAAGGGTAATGCTTTCACCAGATTCTCAGATTCTGAAACAAAATCCTGGATTTAGATCATGCTGCAATGATAATTATAAACCTTTAAGTCAGTCAGGAACCCCATGACTTTTACATGCCGATCGCCTGTTTGATTATCAAGATATTTATGATTGGAAATCGAAATACAATTTTGCGTTTGCCTAACGGTTTTCATAACACTACAGTCGATTGGGGAAAACGAATATAGTAAAACAGGTCACTCAAAGATTTTTACTTTTTTAAGGCACTTCTTGATCATTTTGAAGCGCGATTTTTGTAGGACTTTATCATGATTACACCATATCTCAGACATTGGTAACATATTTTCATCAATGAACAAAAGTTTGACTTTAACGTTGAAATCAAACTACATGAATTATGAATATATAGATCTGCTTGAAAAAAAAAAACACTAGATAATGCTGAAATATCACTTTGGTTAATAAACATTCAAGCATTTACTAATCTAGAAGCATATTCACTTAAATAAGAAAGTAGTACTTTGGCTCACAAATTTGGTTCATTTAGTTCTGGTTCTCATTTTAATGAAAATCAGTCATATTTACCTCGTATATTTTTATAATTTAGTCATAATATAAACTTCTTCCTGAGAAGGGATTTGGTGTCAAAAAAAGACGTGGGGGTGGAACGGAAACACGGAAGCATCGCATTTACCAGAGAACTACGAATCAATTTTTGATTGAAACTGACAGATTTACAACAGGTATAGATTCAAATGTGAAACGTTTGTGTCCTCGACTAAAAGCATCGCATTAACCAAAGATATGTGAATCATTTTTTGAGTGGAATTTTGACAGATTTACAGAAGGTAGATTCATATCAGAATAGCTCCATAATACTAAAAAAAATGACCGTCATGTTCACAAATTTTAAAATGTAACGTACAAGCATATTGAAATTGCCTAAGATTTGTGTTTTCGAAAGTCTCTGCGTAGAAGCGGATAATGCAAATGTAAAAAAGAACTGATATGACTTACCTTGTTTCACTTAGCTTGGAGAGTTCAGTTTAAAGCATATATGCTGTCCCTCGATCGTGAGTCATGTCGGCATAGATTCTGAACATTTCCCGTTGTTTTTCGGCAGCACGTTCGTGTCCTTCCCCACCTCCGGCCGTATGATTTGTATGACACACGCGTTACTTCCTTTTTTCCTGAAACGCAAATGTATAATGAATTTATACACGGCTTCCGGCTTAACTTTCAGTCCTTTTTGCTTTTAAGAACAAAGGGTTTTTAAGATTACTTGGTGAAATGTTGCTGTATAGTCCATAGCAAAGGTCAATAAATATCAGATGCGTTTCTTCGATGATTTATGAGCACACTGAGCGCATGCGCATGTTGCGCATTTGGAAATTGAGTTTAACCCAGTTCTTTTGTTTGTAAATACACAGGATAGAGGTTAATGAACAATCAAAGAGACCACGCTTTCAAATTAAAAAACCTCCGGAATGATGGCATGGACGTCATTTATTCCCTCTTGACAAGTATTATTATTATCATTATTATTATTTCTATTATTATTATCATTATTTATATTATTATTATTATAATTATTGTTGTTATCATTATCATTATTGTTATCATTATAAGCAATCTTAACATCATAATTATTATCATTATTGATATTGTCGGGATGACAGTGGTCTCGTGATCCGGTGACCCGGGTTCGAAACCAAGTCGATGCGCTAGTGCCCTTTGGTAAGGCATTAATCCTCATTACCAGGTCCTTCGGAGAGGACCTAAAGCCGTCGGCCGTCTGGTTGCTTACGCATTTATGCTTTCTTAGCAGTCAGGTAAAATAACCACCACCGCATTTATCATTATTATAGCTATTATCATCATCATTATCAAAACTAAAATCATTTTCTTTAAATCATTATTATTGTTGTTAACATTATCATTATTCTGGTTTTATTTCTTGTTATTCTTATTCGAATTATCTTCTTCTTCTTCTTCTTCTTCTTCGTCTACTCCAACCTTCATCTCTTTTTTCATAATCATCGTCTTTATTTATAAAGCCAGTGTTGTAAATCAATTCAATGAAAATGTAGCAACGAAAATAATAAGCAAATATTTTTTGTTTTTGTTAAAATACAAACTAGAAGTAGACGAAAATAAAACTAAGACAACATATGTGAATACTACTAAGTGGAGGAAGATAATTACTGATTTACAAGATATATATTTTGATCTCAATTAAACATGTGATTAAGTATTAAGTAAATATTTATGTATAATGTAATCCGTGATTTTGTATCTGAATAAAGATTTATTTTAAAAAAATTAAAAAATCTTTATTTATATTTTATAGTTTTTATAATCATAATTATTATAGTTATATTATTATGATAGTCATTGATAATAATAATAATATCAATATTATTATAATTATTATCATTAATAGTAGTAGTAGTAGTATTTTTATGATTATTACTTTATTATTGTTGTTGTTGTTATTGTTGTATTTTTTGTAAACTAAACTGACAATGTGTAAGTGAAATGCGATATATAAAATCGTACCCGGACACCTACCCCCGGATAACCGTCCCCCGGATGACCAACCTAGGATATCCACCCTCTAGGACAACTACCCCCTAGGGCAATTATCCTCTAGGACAACTACCCCTGGATAATTACCCTCTAGGACAACCAACCTCTAGGACAATTACCCCTTCAGACTACTACCCTTAGGATATTTGTCCGGGGAGTAGTTGTCCTAGAGGATGGTTGTCGTGGGGTAGTTGTCGTGGGGGTAGTTGTCTGGGGGATAGTTTTCCGGGGTAGTTGTCCTAGAGGGTGGTTGTCCTAGGGGTAGTTGTCTTGGCCCAGGGGGGGGGGGGGGACTGACGTCGCTTGCCTACATATTGCCTTTCCATTTTCTAAAAAAAGGTTTGACACTTTACCGCACTGACGATGTAATCTCGTCACAAAAGATGCTACATGATACTATGAGTAGACTATCTACAACTATAATATGCGCGAATTAGAGAAGACGGTTGCTCTAATATTCGTATTGAAAAATATTAAAACACCTGGGGAGGGAGACCGCAGTCCCTCCATGCCCCCACCCCGTACGTCTGTGGTAGTCTTTTTTCCTCCTATCCAATCCGGCTCAGGTTCGATACCCGACATGCCCGTGACAGCAACACATGTATTCAAGATTGAAGGTTCAAGATTCAAGTTTTATTGTCCATAATAATACAGAAATATAATTCCCATTTGGTGTTACATTGAATACAATATAGTCAAAGGCATAAACATGATATTGTACGCTGATTGATAGCCAGAATAGGGTTGAGTTTATTTCAACCAAGAATGATTCACAGGTCAACACCATTCCAGCTCTAAGTAGACAGTACATAACAAGAATATAGCGTGCGTCACATCATGAATGCATTAATACATGAATATCAAACTGATGTACATGTATGTTTGAGATTTGTTCCAATACAATGCGACATATCCCCTCCTCCCTGGATGGATTTTGGTAAACGGGCCATAACAATTATGTGACACTACCTTTTTCATACATCGAATTATTTGAAATATGAAAAGGGGATGTCGAAAGTTCATCAGTATTTGCTGGCTATGCATTAGGAGGGATAATTGTGTGCTTGCCGGTTTTTCACCCAAGGAGAAAGCAAAATTATTCAGTAATTCTTACATCGGTGTCATAGTGACGATTTGAAAATAATAGAGTAAGATAAAGGCAGAGAGAGAAAGAGAGAGAGAGAGCATGAGAGATCCGCGCGCGCAGTCTAAGAATTCAGACTCGTATTCCGAATATACATGTTGACATGTTAAACGATTTAAATTAATGGCTGTGTAGTGAATAATTGCCCCGAGGATGATTAGAAATATATTGACATTTAAGTTATACTGACATTAAACTTAATTATTGAAAATATATCGCCATTTTGTTTTAATGTAGAGATTTCGTTTGATATAGTTCCAAAATATGAGTTATTTGCAATCGATTGCAACTCAACACTTTTTGCAACGCCCCATTATAAAAACATAACACTTCAAACATAAAAACAACTAAATGATACGCCAAACTTTTTGTTTTAAGGTTTTTCTGAAAATAAACGTTAACAAATCGAGTGGACACTTTTCGCCAATCGCAGACTCATATCGCCGATCTAGGAGACGCATATCGCCGGTGGAATGCGGCGAGACGCGTCTCTAAGACGCATATCGCCTGGCGATATGCGTCTGTACAGACGTGATTTCCCTAAGACACATAACGCCACGACACCGGCCGCGAATTTGCGATTCCCAAACCATTCAGCTATGGGATACTTTATGAGCAACGTGATTGGTCGAGAGAAGAAATAAATATTACGTCATTTACTGCGCGCTCGGGCTCGCTCACAGCTGACACCACTGATCTCTACGTAGAGATCAGTGCCTTGAAAATATTACTGTCACGTCTCATGACAATGACCTATGACTGTGCCGAAATTGAAGGAAATTGATTGAACCGATCTTGAGTTATCCTGTAAACAAAGAAGGGGGTAAAATAAATAAAAATAAAGAAATAATAATAAAGAAAGAAAATTCTGACGAAAACAATAGGTGATCTGTCATTGACAGACCACCTAATAAATAAATAAATAAATAAATAAAGGCAATTCTAACGAAATTATGAGGTGGTCTGTACGTTATACAGTCCACCTGAAAAATCTTTACATTAAGGAAATACCACTAAGGCAAAGCTGTACTTTTCTTCCTCTTCTTCCTGCATTACTCTATATTTATCATTATTCAAAGGTCCGTTACTTCACGTAAATTGCAACTAATCAATTCAATCGCATTTTAAATTATCTCACAGGATATGATCGATGTAGGCCGATTCAAAGAATAAACGTTTCGTTTTCATTTTAACCTTATAATGATAAACCATTCATTGCTTGATCTGCATTATCTTTCTGAATAACACTATCAGGGAATAAATAGTATATCTTTTTTTGTTGAGCTTACCATTAAGGAAATACTACTTAACCAAAGCTTTATTTTTCTTACTCTTTTTCCTGCATTACTATATCAGGGAATAAATAGTATATAATTATTTTTGTGATCTTAACATAAAGGAAATATCCACTTAATCAAAGCTATATTTCTCTTACTCTTTTTCCTGCATTACTATATAAAGGAACAAATAGTATATCATTTAAAAAAAAATCTTTTCATTAAGGAAATACCACTAAGTCAAAGCTGTATTTTTCTTCTTCTTCTCCCTGTATTACTCTATACTATACGCAATTCCACCAGTACCAGCAAATTTCTTGTATTATTATAGTCCGGCAGCCAAACCCGGATTTGGGGCCTAACCTTGTTTTGGTGAAATAAGTTTTTTTTTTAATGGATTCTGATTGTCTAGGTATCCACTGTGAACAAGCAAAAAACTGGAGCTCTGTCAGCCTTGAGCAATTTGAGATATAAGCAAAAACAAAATGGCCGCCAAAATGGCGTTTTCTGCTCTAAAAATATGTGAAAATGTATACTTTGTCATGTTTTATTTCTGCATTTAGAACCCCTTTCTGATTTTTTTTACCAGATATGATATATATGATACATATTTTGATAATTATAAATATTATTTTAGATGGCAGAGCCCAATTTATACATTATTTATACAGGGTGATTCATAAAAAAGGTGTACAAGAGATTGGCTGTTTGCGATTTCTACTTCGATAACAAGCAATCAATGTATACACACTCTGGCAAAATATTTTGTGATGTATATAAGCTGCATTTTAATTGAAGCTAATTGATGTCGCCTATCATCATATCGCCTTTAGCAATTTGTGATTATAAGCAAAAACAAAATGGCCGCCAAAATGACGTTTTCTGCTTTAAGAATATGTGAAAATGTATACTTTGTCATGTTTTATTGCTACATTAAAAACGCTTTTCTGATTTTATTTAACCAGATATGATATATATGATATATTATACAAATAATGAATGGTTATGAGTTCAATAGTGCGAATATTTTCATGAGTTGAAAGATTAACATTCTATTCAACGAGGCGTCAGCCGAGTTGAATAGAATTAATGTTAATCTTTCAACGAATGAAAATATTCGCACCATTGAACGAATGAAAAACATTCATTATTTGTTTTATACAACATCGAAGAAGATCTAATAGAACGTTAATCAACAAATTATGCTTTACTCCTTATATTAAAGATAAATTCAAGTTGGATTCAAGCCTTCTCGATTACATTCAGATTGCCTTTGCGTCAGATACACGCAGGGATACGCGCGCGCACGGCAAAGAGGTACGCAGTCTGCATATAACCAAAAATGC